AACGGATGAGAGAGCTGAAAGTTGGAGCTGGTGGTGACAGGCCAAGCGGCAGATCTAGTATTTTAACTCAGGTCTGGCTCATTCTAAAGCCCAGGCTCCTCCCACTCCACCATGTTCATTCCTGCTTATTCCACTGAGGGGAGTAAAGTCTGGAAGTCTTTGTAGGGGAAGCTGACACTTGAGTTGAGCCTTGAAAGATGGGGAAGATTTACCAAGACTGAGAAAGGATGGAGAAGGGCTGTGTAGCTTGGGCAACAGCAGAGTCAGCCCATGTTCCTCCAAAAGGGACAAAACACAATACTCCTGGTGTGGCTCAGATGCCCACTTCTTGAAATAAAGAGGGCAGCTGAGATCAAGCTGTGGTACCTGACCCAGCCCTACAAAACGGGACAAAGTTGTTACAAGACTCCCTTGTGCGCTCCATGTATGCAGCTTTGTTCTCCCTGGGTAACTCCAGACTGCCACAGGCACGGTGACAGTCACCGAACCTTGTTTCATAGGCACAGGGGCCGTGAATAGACAATGCACGGCTCCAGGCACTTCAAGATTGCTCAGCAGCATTCTAGGGCAGCCAGGGCAGACAGCTATCCTCATACCCCAGAGGAGAGCTGAATAAGCTGGCAGAAGGCTTTAAAACCTCGACCCACTCACTCCTATCCTCTAGTTCCACAGTGACAGGACATACATGCCCATCACCTCCTGGATCTAAACTTCTCAGACTCTCAACTGGGGCCTTTTTGTTTTTTTGGGTGGTAGTGGCCAGAGAGTACATCATCATCCTCACAAACTCCAAGGCAGAAAAGTCTGAGAAACTCACTTAAATTGGGTTATGGACAGCGGGTGAGACAGTGAATTAGTGAGAGGGTTTTTTTGTGTGTGTGAGGAAGATCAGTCCTGAGCTAACATCCATGCCAATCTTCCTCTTTTTTTTTTTTTTTTGCTGAGGAAGATTGGCCCTGTGCCCATCTTCCTCCACTTTATATGGGACGCCGCCCCAGCACAGCTTGACAAGTGGTGCCTTGGTGTGCACCCAAGATCCCCACCCAGGCTGCCAGCAGTGGAGCGCGCACACTTAACCGCTAAGCCACGGGGCTGGCCCCAGTGAGAGGGTTTTTAACGAACTCAGACATCCAAATGAATCTTCCAAGTTCTACAGGTACCAGTTTGAAACATTTTTGGAACTCTTACATGGAAGGGCTTTCAGGGTCAGTTTGTGAACTGCCACACCCCAGCCCCAGCAAATCTCACTATTTTAAGTCACACCTTATTCCTTGTTTTTAGTTTTTAACCCAAAAGCAATGTCTGTAACCTGACCACCCACTTAACAATGCAATATCTTGGCTCTACATTTTCTGGCTGCTTCCAAAATTCAAAAAGGATCAGGACTGGGGGCTGGCCTGGCGTCACAGCGGTTAAGTTCACACATTCCGCTTCGGTGGCCGGGGGTTCGGTGGTTCGGATCCTGGGTACAGACTTACTGCTCACCAAGCCATGCTGAGGTGGTGTCCCACACAGCAGAGCTACAACTCTACAACTATGATACACAACTATGTACTCAGGCTTTGGGGAGAAAAAAAGAAAAAGAGGGAGATTGGGAACAGATGGTAGTGCAGGGCCAACCTTTCTCAAAAAAAAAAAAAAAAAAAGGATCAGGACTTTCCACTATGAGGATGTTTGAGATAATCTGTTATTGCCACACCCTCCAGAGCCTGCTCTGCTTTCTCCAGTCTTGAGAAACTCAAAGCCATTCAACAAACACTTATTTAGCACCTGCTCTGTGGTAGGCATTACAGGCACAAAATCAAGACCCCTACTCTCTTCTCTCATATCCACCTGGTTCCACCTTCCAAATCTCTCTCCAGTCCTTCCCTGTCCTTCACCGTAGCTGGAGTTCAGGTCTTTGGCTTCCTTTCCCTGTCCACTGCACAGTCTTGGCTGGCTCACCCAGACACCCCGATGTCTACAGAACAAAGGCTCAGCTGTTCAGCACGGCACTCCTGTTCTGGACTCCATCCTATCCCACCTCTCAGAAGATGTGCACTTTCCGTTATCTCTACCACCACTCTCCTCTCCACTGGCTCCTTCCAATGATCATTTAAATAAGTTCAAGTCTTTCTCATTAAAAAAATATCTGGACCCCATTTTCTCCTCTAGCTACCATCCTTACTTCTCCCCTTCACAGCCACATGTATTAAAAAGTTGTCTACACATCACTGCCCTCATTTCCTCACTTCCCACTTACCGCATAATCCACTGCAATCCACTGCAATCTGACTTCCACCCCCACCATTTCTCTGAAACTGTCTCACCAAGGGCAACAGTGACCACTTATTGCTAAATTCAATGGACATGCTTTAGTCATTCTTTCAGCAAATATTCACTGCATGCCAACTATGTGTCTAACACTGTGCTGGGGAAAGGGCAGCAAACAGGAGAGAGATTAAACATAGAACAGATATTAAATAATAACAATTATTTCAATTATAATTGGGGCAAGTAGCATGAAGGAGATATCAAGTTCATTGCTAGGAAAATGGGGGTGGGGTAGGGCAAACAAGTATTCCTTAAGGAAGTAATTTCCAAGCTGAGCTCTAAAGGATGAATATAAGTTAACCAGGCGAAAAGGAGGGAGGAAGGATAACAACGGAGACTGGGGTTGAGGGAGACACGTGCAAAGGTCCTGAGGTAGGAACGCAAACTCCTCACACATCATTAAAGTTGGCTAATGTCATGGGGCCAGCCCCGTGGCATGGCGGTTAGGTGTGCACACTCCACTGCTGGTGGCCCAGGTTTGGATCCCAGGCACACACCGACGCACCGCTTGTCAGGCCATGCTGTGGCGGCATCCCATATAAAGTGGAGGAAGATGGGCACAGATGTTAGCCCAGGGCCAGTCTTCCTCAGCAAAAAGAGGAGGATTGGCATGGATGTTAGCTCAGGGTTGATCTTCCTCACACACACACACACACACACAAAAAGTTGGCTAATGTCAGCTCCAAAGGACTAGGAAAATGAAGACTGGTCTCTGGCCTACTACAGCCTCAATAAACATTTATTGTAGGAACGAATGGCCCTCCACAAGGTGGCCCCAAAGAAGTTCTCTCTCTCATCATTCCTTACAAAGGAACGCTCTAGTCACATCTTGATCTATTTTCTATTCCTGCCACACACATTCACGTTCTTACATCCTAACAGTCACACCTCAAGCTATTCTCTATGTTTAGCATACTTTACCAACCTTTTCCCTTAACCAAACTTCTATCCTTCCTTGATGGTCCCCCAAAGGCAGGCAGTATTTCTTTCACTTTGTCTATACCTGTTCTATATTATTTGTTCTGTAATTACAGTTCATTACGTTTCTGTCTCCTCCAGTCCCTCCCTCTCTGCCCTCCCCTCTCTCCCAGCTCTAAGGGGCAAAGGCTGCATCAGTATTTTTCAAATCTCCAGGGTTTAGCACAAAGCCTGGTACAGAACAGATTCTCCTTTGTGTGGCAAATCCAACTGAATAATTGGATCCAACTGCCAGCCATAAAGATAAGCTCCAACAGTCTGCAAGGATGATTCAACTGGACTAAGTATTCTGGCTCCCAGGGTGACTACCTACAGGTAAAGTCACTTGTAGGTGCACAGGCCTCAGTCCATCACGTTGTACCTGAGCAAGGGTATTCACCCAGAGCCTTCGGCCTCCCAAGCCCAGACATTCTCCAAAAGAATACTCTTGGCCTTTTCAGCTCCCTTATAACCCTGAAAGTTGATGATCCTAACTCTTACAGCCTTCATTCTAGGAAATGGAAGAGAAATATAATAATACAAAGACTTGGAGATTTCTGTGAGGCCCAATGGAAGACCAATCCAGAGTCCAGTCTCCCTGGGAAATTCTTCCTCCAGGAATATACCTCATTGTACCAGGCTGTTCACCCTCTCCCTCTACTGTGTTTACCTCTCATATTTGCAGACTTATCAACAGAGGCTACTGATTGTGAGTCCAGAAAGGGAGCCTGAGTAAGTAAATGTCCCCAGTAGCCTCAAACAGTAAGGGGCCCTTAATAGGTGTCTAATAATCAGAAAAATGTGCCTTCACAGTTATTATTGGAATTTGTTGCTTATAAGAAGTGGTAAACGTGCAATGCAAACAAGATAAGAATTGTAACAAATGGCTCATTACAAAGTTCTCATCTTCAGGATCTTTTGAATACTGGTATAAAATATATTCAGTTTGTATAGGATGGAAGGATGGTAAGGCTGAAAGGGCCTTTAGAAACCATCTACTCTAACCCAACACTTTCATTTTTCTGAAAGAAAAGAATTGAGTTGCCTAACCATCAGAAACCTGGTCTGGGGGGGGCTCAAACCCAAGTTCTGAGACTATAAGACCAGATGCGTTTTTATTATCCTATGCAGCCTCAGACAAGTTGAGACTTGCTCAAGACTACATAGTCCTTCAGTGGAAGGGCTCAGTCTGGTACCCCAGCTCAGAGCCAGTGCATTTCCCACAAGACACTAACATTCACCTTAATCTTGGTCTAAGAGCTGGGTTTCTGCAAACTAGTCCTTTTCAGACTTCAAAGTGGTGAGAAAGTCCCAAGTGCTGAGAACTCATGAGACCATAACGCCTAGCCTGAACCAACATGCAGAGATCCTATCCTTTCGTTTGAGAAAAATCTTTGCTGCTTCTCATGTTCCATCAGACAATGAGAACCAGGAACAAAACCCAGCCAACTCAGCGTAGCACAAAACAACAAATACGGTAACTGCTGTGCCCCCTGGGAACTGGCAGGTCAGGTGTATAAATTGTACTTGTTCCAGGATAAAGCAGGAAGCAGAGGGGCAGGGCAGCAGCTAGTGGGGAGCAGCCAAGAGAGAAAAGATCACATTTTAATGAAGTGACTACCAACAAGACTAACAGTAATGATTAACATTCCTCTAGATACTCTCCTATATATCCCAAAGGGTTTTCCTCCTCACTAGCTTGCCAAATATTACCAAAGGGAGTGTCTAAGGAAAAAAGATTACATGATTTTTAAAGCAGCTTTGGAACTTTTCTGGACCTTAGAGTCTTCCTTCATAAAAGGAGGGATCAAATGATTCCTTCTAGCTCTGAGAGTCTGGGACACCAAACCAGGGGCCTCTCATTTTTCAGGTTAAGGCACAGACATAGGCATCTCAGAAAGTTTCATTCTTGCTGTCGTTCTCTTCTGCTTTTCTTTAGTTTATTAGGAAAAATTTGTGAGGGTCAAGCAGAAGAACCAGAGTTAGACCTGGTTCTGTGTCCTTGGGTAAATTATTTAACCTCTCTGAGCTTGTCTTTTAATCTTGAAAAAGAGGATAATACCACCTACCTTACAGGATTACCAAGAGGATTAAGACAAATAACATAATATATGTCACAATACCTCCCGCAGTGCCTGGCACTTAGTTGGCAAATGAATTGTGAGTAGCTTTTCTTCTTTCCTTCATGTATATCTAGGGGGTTGGCTGAGTAAAGGTTGAGCTGAATACACTAACCTCTAAAACCTGAAGGGAACGTTTTCAAAATAAATTCAGCAAATGTTTTCTGTGTGCCCATGTGCAAGACACAGACTAGGCCACAAACTGCTGGGGGCCCTTGGTGAGCACTCATGGGGTGTGATGGACAAGGATATGTACAGAAATAACATGTCAGAGAGGGACAAACCAGGTGCTGGGGGCAGGGCAAGCTCGGTACAGTAATAAGATACTTGGTAGAGAAACTAATGAGACAGATGGCTTCTGCGGCTTTCGGGCACTCAGGTTCTCATTTCCAACCATAAGATTACCTCCTTCAAGAAGCATTCCCTGACCAAATCTGGTAGCCACCTGGGACACCTTGCTATTCTTCACACATGCCAAACACATTCCTAGCTAGGGCCTTTGCTCATTCTCTTTTATCCCCTCTGTCTAGAATGTTCTTCCCCCAGATATCCAAACTGCTCACTCCCTTGCTTCATTTCTCTGCTCAGATGTCATTAACCAGAGAGACTCCCCTGACCTTCCACCACTCCTATGCCCTTATCCTACTTTATTTCTCTTCAGAGCATTTATCCCTAATGTATGATATTTATATATGCACACATTGTCTATCTCTCCCACCAGAACATACACTCCATTAGGGAAGGGATTTGGTCTACTTTGTTCCCTGCTGTATCCCCCAGGGCCTAGAAGTGCTTGGCACATAGTAGGAACTCAATATATATTTGTGGAATGAACATATGAAAAGAGTTCTTCCCCACCTTTGAATATGTGATTGCATATAGGCCTTATAATAGTGTGTTTTGATTTGCCCTCTTTTTCTGGAGAGGAAGATTGGCCCTGAGCTAATATCTGTTGCCAATCTTCCTCTTTTTGCTGAGGAAGACTGGCCCTGGACTAACATCTGTGCCCATCTTCCTCTACTTTACATGGGACGCCGCCACAGCATGGCTTGACAAGCGGTGCGTCAGTCTGCACCCCGGGTTCAAACCTGCAAACCCTGGGCCACCGAAGCAGAGCGCACGAACTTAACCACTACGCCACCAGGCTGGCCCTGATTTGTCCACTCTTTTCTTAATTATTCTCAATACACAGTGAATTTCTTGAAGGTACAAACCATATATTATTCATTTCCACAAATATTTATTAAGGGCTCACTATGTGCCAGATCCTGTATGTCTCAAGCAGCCTGGAAGATTGGAAAGAGCAATGGAGGAGAACTCCTAGATTAGCCCTGGCTCTACCACTCATTCAGTGACCCTGGACAAATCCATTTTCCTCCCTGGGCCTCAGTTCCTTCATATGTAAAATGAGGAGAGTTACATTATCTCAAGTCTCTCCTGGTTCGAGCACCTGTTAAAATTTATGAGCGGTAAAACCTGGCCCAGCCTAGTGCCTTTGACAGCACAGACACTCAGTAAATATTTGATTTCTTTGTTGTTGATTCTCCTGTTACACAGGGATCTGAGTTGTCTTGGAACACAGTTTGGACAGAACAAGTAAAAGTTGAAGTCCCACTTCCTTCTCTGACTCCATGGGCAACTTCATTCTGGTGTCTGTGATACAGAGAGGATGAAGCACTGAATTTGAAGTTGGAAAACATGAATCCTGACCATCACCACTTATTTGGCTATGGAACCCTGAACAAGTAATTTCTGAGCCTTAGTCTCCTCACACATAAAAAAGCCACACTGGCCTTCTCTCAGCTCTTCAAAGGCACCATATGCCTTCCTACCTCAGGGCCTTTTTATGTTGTTCCCTCTGCTGGAATGTTCTTTGCCCTTTCTTTTCTGGACTAACTTCTACTTATCCTCAGGGATCAGCATAAACTTGCTTTGTTAGGGAAAGTATTCCCTATCCACTCTCCTCACCCCTGCTGTACTCTTACAGCACTATCTCAATTCTTTATCTCAATTATTATAGCATTTATTTCAATTGTTACCTCAATTATTTACTGTCCATCTCTATGACTGTAAGCACTACAAAGGAAGTACTGGGTCTGTTTTGTTCATCACTATACTCTTCAGTGCTTGGCTAAGTATCTGACAAATATTCTTATGGAAGAATGTATATAAACTAATGCATCTAGAGGTTTTAATGGCTCTAGACAGCTTTTTGGTTCACTCAGAGAAAAATATAATAAGCACTATTGCAATCTAAGATCTTTTGCAAATTTCTGAGAATCAAGCGTCAAGACAGGAAGCCTATGTTACATGGAGGTTAGAAAAAAATCATTGGAAATCATTTGAGCTGAAGAACTCTGGAAGCCAAAAAAATAAAAATAAAAGAGGAAGGGGCAGGGAGCAGTTCTACCCCTAGCCCTCTTTCTCCAGAAGCCTATTATTAAGAATGAGGAGAAAATCCCATGCTCCCATGGTGAGGAAGTGACCCACTGGTGGCCTGGTTCTTGTATTCAGGATGGAGGAAGTGACTATCCACAGGCTGAAAGCCAGGAAGTGGGGGCCGATATCCAGGACAGCCTCCCTCCTCCACTCCCGTCACCTCTAGAAAGCTTCTGGACGCTGACCCCGGTCGACCCAGAGGCTGGGCCACCTACACAGGTATCTGGGAAACATATGCAACAGAAAGTCCCTGGTGCTGGGGGACACGCAAGGAGGGCAGGAAGCCGCAGGGTGGTATGTGAGGTGACTGGGAAGGGACCGCAGGCCCGGCTACCCTAAGCCTGAAGCTACCCTTCACTCTTGGACAACTCATCTTTCCAGGAGGTGTTTTGCCCTATTCCTCGCCTGTCTCAGAGAGACCAAGGGAGGACCCGGCTCCCATGGGAGGGCCCAGAACCCCAGCGAGCCTACCTTCCCCAGGAAAAACGCTCCAATCTCTCCCTAGCCCCAATCCGTATCCTAACCCCCAAGGGAGCCCACATTCCCCTGTTTCCCTGCAAAGAGCCCCAAGACCCAGGGGATCGCAGGCACCAATATACCCCCGAGAAGCCTTGGATCCCATCGCGAAAGTCATACTCCTCTCCATTTCCCACAGAAAACCCAGAACCCGGCGTAACTCTCCATCCCCACATAATTGCCCCGAATCCTGAAGATCCCGTACTCCCCATATTCCACAGAACCCTCACTCCAAGGGAACCCAGGCCCCTCAGCTGCCTCAGAAAGGGTTTTCATTTGGGGATCTGCAGTCGCCAGGTCCACAAAAAAAGCTGGCCCCCCGGCAGAGCCAGCATCCCTTCCTCCCGGGACCTCAACTCGCGGGCAGCCGCCCAACCCGCCTGCCCCTTGGAGCTCTCTATTTCCGGCTCCCCAATTCCCGGAGCCCCACAACCTCTGAGTCTTCAGGGAGCGCTGTGCTCACTCCCCAAATCCTCCTTCTAAGGAGCCCGAAACCCCCGAGAGGCCGCCGGCTCCCCCCAGGCGCCCTGGGCCCGGGCTCCCGAGATAACGGCGGGACAGGACGGCGCAGCCCTTCCTTACCCGCCTGCTCCGCCATGGTCCTGGGGGCGCGGAAATGGGGAAGAGAAGGCACGGGCCGCGACAACTACTCAGCTCACGCCGCCGCCTCAGGCGCGGCAGAACCTCAGCCCAAGGCGCCAGCGAGATGCGCCGCCTACGGCGCCCGGGGAGGACCAAACCGCACCTGGCACCGGGACCCACCCGCTGATGCCCCGCCCCGCCGACGCCAAGCCCCGCCCCCGGGACCCGGCCCCGCCCCCTGGCTCGGGCTCAGCGGCAGCCCTGGCGCCCCCTAGTGTGAGCGGTGACCTCGGCGGGTCATTTTGGTAAGGGTCATTTTGCGCAGGCTGAAGGGCTCAACACAGATAACTTTCAGCCCATTTTACAGATGGGGACAGCTGAGGACCAGAGGGGACAAGTTCGACTACCTCGAAATGGCTCAGCTCATTAGGAGCTGAGCTGGGATGGGAACCCAGATCTCCTGACTCGGAGGTGAAAGCTCTTTCCAGTAGTGTATGGAATCAAGAATACGAATATGAGAAACCAGGTCTACCCTACATATACCTTTGCGGGGGTTGAGGGTGGACTTTTCTCACAAGCTTCCAACTCAGAGAAGCCACTTCTCTGTGCCACTATGTGTAAACTGACACTCAGTAGATAATCTCTAGGTCAAAGGGTATGGAGGTGGTGCAACCAGCATTCTGGGGGCAGATCCTTAGTGAGGCCAAGTAGGTATATAAATGAACTCAGTACACCAGATCTTCCAATTTTTCAAGACAAGCCAAAACTCCAGGTCGTTAGGTGAAATCTCTCACTTTTTAAAACGTTGGAACCATTAAAAAATTCTAAAAATGCCATGTAGGTCGAAGGAAACACACCTGTGGGCTAGATTTGCCCTGCCGGCTCCTCTTTGTGGAGGAGAGAGCACTGGATGAGGAGTTAGGACAGCAAACTGGTTTCTGGCAGCTGCTAGCTGGCCGAGGGACCTTGAGAGCTACTTGCCCTCATTGGGTTTGGGAGTGGATTGGAGTCCTCCGTCTGACGATGGGTTGGCCATATCAGCCGGTCCCTGAGATTCTTCCTGTTGTGCTGGGTCTTTGGCAAC